TATGTTTGGACAGGGAAGTTTGCTGTGACAACTGAAGCAGGTTTACCAAATTAGCTGTACTTGGTGGAGTGCCAGCTGAACACTTCTTTTTTCCCTCACCTCAGCTCTGTAAACCCATGTTTTGGGCTCTTATCCCCTGTGCCTGACCAATGTATTAGACAGAGGCCACAGCCTTCCAGTGCCTTTTGAATATTGGCGCGATCTCATTTTTAGTTATTAAAACGTTGCTCCAGTTGAATGTCATAATTCCAGTGTCTCAATGTGTCCCAGCTCTGATGCAGCCATGAATTCTGCAGTTGAGCCTGGGAGTAAGTAGATTGCCTCACTGTTTCCCCAACTTGTCCCTCCACAACCCCTTCTCATCTCATCATGCTGCAGTTGACTGCCCTAGGATGAGGAAAGGGTGGAGGAATGAGAGTGAAAGGACAAGTTCTTAAGGGATTGGTGCTCTTGCAATATGGAATATGGGCCTTCTGTCATGGCAAATGCCCAAATAAAGTTTTCTCACATTGGAGTTGAGAATTTCACATTCCCATCTTCACCCTCCCCCTTCTCTAACACGGTACTGTTTCCTAACCAGACGATGCATTTTTTTTTTTTTGGCTAACATTTTCCTTACAATTGTCACTCAACTCTTGCCCCAGTGGTATTCACAGAGGAGCAGGCGTTAGCGTAGCGTTCTTTTCTGATGACTCACACCTGGCTACTTTCCAAGCTATTGCTTCTGGCTTTGGGAAACATTACACTTCTTTTGCTCACAGAATTCTTTAAGGCCTGGCCTCTCCCTGGGCAGCTGCAATCTTTGCTCTGAATTTTGAGCAACTCCAATCCTAGACTCTTCTAGGAAAGAATCAATTATGAATGTCTCGACCAATCACTCCCATATGAACCCAGAGGATCAGAAACTACTAAGTACTTAGTCCTGTGTTCAGAAATACCTAAATTTCTGCAGCTTAACAAATACTCAGTTGGATGAGGGGATACATTTTTATGTTTCTGGAAAACTGAGAAGCATCCTGTTTTCTACAAGTGACTATCTTAAATCAACTACTTCAAAGGTTCTTAAGATGCCTTGTCATCAGCTTTGGATTCTGAGCCAAAACTCCTAGACTATGGGAGAAGTCTCACCTTAATATGTACTTCACAATAGGTGAGTTACAGTAACTTTAGGAGAGCATATTTAGGATGGTGTTGGTGCTCCCAGAGCTTAAATGCACATACAAAAACCAAGGTGTACTTTAATCATGAAATTAGTAACTCTGCGTTAAAATTCTTCATAGGGCATCTGGTCCTATTCTATAGGCGATAATGTAATCAATAGTAAAAGAACTTTAATAAGATTTTTTTCCAACTTGACTTGAATACCCCTTAGAGACAAATAAATCCTTATATCACAAAACCGACCAAACCATTTCTGTATAGTTCTAAGTGCTGGAAACTTTGAATTTACATCGAGTCAAAATTTACCCCTATGTAAATTTCACCCAAGTTTTCAAATTTATCATCTAAAAACTCATAAAACTTAACCTGAACTTGGTTTGACTTTCCGGAAGAGTCAGGGTCTAGGACAGGAGTTACTTGGAAATCGGAGCAACAGTTGCAGTCATAAAGCTCACTTTTCCTGAGTTTGTTAAGCTGCAGAAACTCAGACCTTCTCTCTGAATACAGGGACCAAGTACTTGGGAGTTTGTGTTCCTTAGGGTTTAGGGATGAGTGGAGTCACTGGTGATTGCCTCTTCCATGGAAGTGTCAGAGGCTAGTTTTGGAGTCTCTTGAAAATCAGATAAAAGATTGAATGAGAAAATTCACTTATCCATATGGTAGCCCTATAGGTTTTTTGAGAACAATGGTCATTTCCCATTTAGACTAATCTTCTTTAAACTAAATTTCCCCCAAATTTTTCGATTTTTCAATGTATGACAGTTTTGAAGTTTTCTTACTATTTTGGTGACCCTTCTGTTATTATTTTCCAGTTTTTCCAACGTCCTACTTGTGATATGTATAGTAGACAGGATTCCTAACAATGCCAGAATGAATGAAACAGGAAACCACTTCTGTTAAAAGTTAACTTTAAAACAAGAGTAAAATCACGACTCTCATGTAGATATAAAAATGAATGCATGTTAAAGATTTTATATAACCAATAAGGAAATCAGGCAGATATTTTAACTGTTGCAAAAAAAATCTAAAGAGATAGATTTATAGAACAGAAATATTGAAAAGGTGGTACAGGTATAGACAAAACTGCTGTTTTGTTTTTGTTTTTCATGATGGTGGGAGGAGTCAGATAACCAGGAGAGTGGCTGGAGTCTAGATAATGCAAAGTTCTCCCCCAAAGCACAGATATCTTTCCTATACTTCCTTGCTCTAGATACTGTTCTTTAAAATTCACAGGATAGTGGTAAATATAGAACCCAATACCTGGTAGTTGTAAAATTGCCATACAGCTTTAAAACGTTTCTTTGTATTATAAGGTTTAATATAATATGGCAATAAACACTGAGGTTAGTCTTAAGTAAAAAAGAGTAGGTGTTAAAAGTTTGCCCCTCTGTGGCATATCTTAAATGATCAATAGTTTGCTAATTGTATCTTCTCTCTCAAGTTTTCAATATTTCATGGTCTCTGGATTTACCAGTTTCAAATTAGTTAGCAAATTCAAGTTCATTGAAAAAAATACCAACTTAATTCATAAGTCTGCTATATGCATAGCATACAAAATAAGTAAAAAATACAGTTTTTTGTAGATAAATGATATTTTAGTTGAACAGAACAAGGGGAATATATATATAAATATATTAAAGGCCAAGTATAACTCATTTAAAGGCAAAAGATAAGCTACTGGATTTTTTAAAATGAGTTAATATGTTAGGTTGGAATAATCAGAAATGACTTAATGAGAAGATTGAATTTCCACAAATTATAACAAGATACAGAATACTCAAGGAAAAAGAAACAAAAAAAATGGATTCTAGATTAGAATAATTGGAAATATTCCTGAATCATTCAAGGGTCTTAATTGTCAAGTTAATGAATTTGTATTTAATTCTTAAAACAGAACTATTAGAAAATTTTTTTTAAATGTTATTTATATAATAAGAACAATTTTGTGATTCAATCTAACATAGCTATAAAAGTTAGATTGGAAAACACAGAGACTGAGATAAGAAGGCTACCAGAAAGTAAACTTTATGTAACTTGACAAGATGTTTTTTTCTTTTCGCTATGGAGCAAGAGGGGATAGGAGTAGAGAAGGGAGAGAAAGAAATGAAAGATTATTCCAATTTTTCCAGTGTAGATAAAAATCTCTATGAGCTTCCTAGGGCTGCTATAACCAATTACTATAACTGGTAGCCTAAAACAACATAAATTTATTCTCTAACTGATCTGAAGTCTAGAAATCCCAAATCCTGGTGTCAGCAGGTACATGCTTCCTCTGAAAGCTCTAGGGAAGAACCTTTACTAGCCTCTTCCTAGTTGTTGGTGACTCCTGCAATCTTTGGCTCCCTTGGTTTATAGCAGCATCACATCAATCTGTGTCTCTATCTTCACATGGCCTTCTTCTTTGTGTTTCTCTTCTGTATCTCTGTGTATCCACTTCTTGTAAGGACACCAGTCATTGGATTTTTAAGATTCACCCTAGTCCAGTCTGAGTTCCTCTTGATCCTTCACTATCTGCAAAACCTCTGTCTCCAAATAATGTCACCTTCTGTGGTTCTTGGTATACATCAATTTTTGGTAGACACTAATTCAATCCACTATGGGTAATTTGGACAAACATGGTTTCATGACGTCTAATAAATGTTCTGCTCTGTTCTCTTAGAAAAGCCGTTATTTGATAAGGTAAATTCAGGTTAAGGTTCAAGGAGCCAGATTTGTGAATGGGAAAGGCTGGAGTAGACCAACTCTTGGCTATTAAAAGCAGAGCCAAAGATAATAATAGTAAAAGATGGAGTCAGTAGTAAAATTTAAATTATGAAAAAGAAGACATTCTACACAAACTTTTGGTCTGAATTAGTGAAGCAAAAAGGCAGAAACCAGGTAAGAAACAAAGTATCTTGGATCCCCAGATATTATCAACTCAGTCCATTGCTAAGGCAAAGCTGAGTTTATTGCTTACTCTGTAAGGAGGAATACCACCTCCACAGGGCTTTGGCAGTATCTCAAAGCAGGAGAAGGTGAGGTCGGAATTTATTGAAAATGAAAAGTTTGGTATAAGCTGGATCTTCCAAGGCAAGAACTTGATTAGGATTGCATAATGATCACGTATAATGGTCAAAGACTGCTGGAAAAATCAACTTGAGGATTTTGAGGAGAGGAAATTAAAGAATCTTAGGGCTCAAATTATTGATGTTTTCCATTGAAAAGTTGATGGATCTTTCAGAAAGTTCTTGGAATTAACAGGCAGATCATTTACCTGTGCAACAGTCTCCAGGGAAAGTAAAATTATGCTAATGAAGACAGTGTAATAGCAAACTCCTGTTAATGTGAACAGTAAAGTGTGATTTCTGTTCTCTGTGCCCTTTCTGAGTGTGAAGGTAGACAGCTTCAGGTCTTCACGGGAAACAGAGACACAAAGTCACAGCTGGTAGGTGTGGAATGAGGAGCCAGAGGAAAAATCTAGATGAATTCTTTGAGGTGCAGACCATAGAGCCTATGATAAATTTTTGTTGTGCTTTCATTTTATTAAAAAGATGTCTGCAACCTTGGCCAAGGGTTAAAAAGGAGTTGTGAGTGTATACAAATGTTGAAACAGTAATAACAAATCCAAGAAGGAAATGGTAATAAAATTAAGAAATATAAGGCTTTAGGAAATACTATATTGTTTTATTTAAAAATAAACTGGGTGGTTTCCATGAAGGGTTATGCTAGACATTACTAAAGCTTCCTGATAGCCAATTCTCTTCTTTGTGGATTTGTGAAACACTATACTTACCAGTCCTCTTTCAAACAGGCAAAGCCATGTGATTAGTTATGACAATAGCTTGTGAGTGGAAATAACTTCCATGTGTCACTTCTGGACAGAGGCAATGAAAATCTGTTGTGTGATCCTCCTCATTCTTTTTCAACCACTTAGACTGTGGTGGCTATATATGGAGATTCTGGAGCCACAAGATAAAACCAGTCTAGATCTCTGACTCATGTGGAAGGGAGCTGCCCTGGAGAGCCAGTGGACTTCCAGCTGACATTCTGTAAGCAAGAAATACACTCCTTCGTGTGTGTGTGTGTGTGTGTGTGTGTGTGTGTGTGTATCCAACAGAGTTTTGGAATTTATTTATTCCTGTATTGTATCCTATCCTATCTAATACTTGTGGTAATACTATACAGAAAATTGTAAGTGAAATGAAGAAATGATAATAAACTGGGTGAAAAAAATCATAAACAATTGTTTGAAGGACCTTGATGATAAAGAAAAAGAGGGGAAGGAGAGGTGTTTTCAAGGTTCTAGAAGAAAAAGTATGTTTCATATTTTATCTAATTTTTAAAAATTGGATGACAGAGTACTAAGGCACTCAGAATTAACTTTTGAGATTTTTAGGATCATAAAATTAAGCCCTTTTCATCAGATAATGTCACTCTTTACCTTCTGATTCCCAGGACTCAAATTAAAATTCATATGTTTGGTGATTTGCCAGGAATTTGACCTTAGAGCCAGGAGTTTGATCTCATTGAAACTAAAAGCCCACATTACATCACTTCACTCTTTGAAAAAATGTTCTCTGCCCCTCTATCCTCTAGATTATTGAAATATATTTTGATAGTATTTAACATAAGAAATAGTTTAAATTATTTTTAATTTATCATAGACTATTTCCTTGAGAAATTGTTTTTATACTTTTTGTATCAATCGCCAGTTAAGTACAATGTGTTCTCATAATTCCAGGAAGTAGTGTTACGGCTGTCAAAAATGATGTGTTGCATAATCAGTAACAGTAAATAGGCTAATTCTTTGAAGCCATTCCTGCTGGAAGGTGTATAAGAATATCCACTGGAAAGTGCCAAAGTATACCTGCCAACAACTGAAGCCTAGGAGTTGAAAGAATTAGGGAGATAAATAAGGAAATGTGCTATAACTGTCTTGAAATATTGAAATACTAGACTAGGAGGGCATTGTGAAAGTACACAGTGATCCCTTGTTTCATGTGGCAAAGTGTTCTGTTGAGGAAAAATTATCTACGACTAACCCACTTTTACTGCTAAGTCCTGAGAATGTGTTTTGTAAAAACGTGTCAAAATGAGAGAAAAAGAATCCTCTGCTATTCAAAGCCCAGTGCACGGTAAGTATTCAATACGTTGTTGGTAATAAAGGAAGTAAAAATGAAATAATATAGTCACTGAGAAATAGGTCTAGAAGATGAAAACCTATCTTTTAGTAACATTTAGAAAAGGCTTTCCTCTAGAATTCTTGTCTTCATTGTAAAAGCTTGGGCTGTTAGTGGATAATCTCCCCTGGAGAAAAACGGAGCCAGAGTGTTAGGTTGAGGTTCACATTGTAAATAACTGAGCTGGATTTGGGAATAGGGATGTGGGTCACATGAATGGTGACAGTTGGTTTAAGTGGCTGAGCCAAGTTGGGACTATGATTTGAGTGACAGTCTTGGGAAGAAGCCAAAGTAGAAATAACGCAGATGTCTAAAAGAATCACCAGACGTTCTCCTCTGAAAACGAAAAGAAATCAGGTTAAGGCAATGGAGCAAAAAACAGGAAAAACATAAGAGAGAGGATGAATGCTGGGTCCCAAACAAATTCTTGTAAATGAAGAATAATAATTGCAATCACTTCTTAGAAGATAAAGTAAGTGTGCTGTGGCAGTGACTGCTAGCACTATCCTTACTTCCTTAGTATTAATAACCTTACTGCTCGATGAACATATTGCAGTTCAGGAAAAATTGAGGACATGCCCCATCCTCTCTTGTAGCTAGTTAAAGCCGAGTGACTAAATTTTGCCCAATAAACTGTAGTAAAAATGGTTATGTGACACTTAGAGAAAATATACTTAAAAATATATACTTCGAGAAAATAGACTTTAAAAACACACATACACATTGTACGCACAACACACACACACACATGCACATACACAAACACACATATTCCCTTACAATACAAAATACAAAATAAAAATAAAATACAAAATATAATACAAAATAAATTAAAAAACAAATATTTTAAATTTTTATTTATTTAAATTTTATTTTAATTTCATATTTAAATGGTTATTATTTAAATATTTTAAAAATACAAAAAAATACACCATACAATAGCTATGACAAGCTCTGGCAACCATTTTAGATCGTGGGTCTGGAGAAGGCAGAGTAGAAAGTTAAACGAACTTAGGTCTGTAAGGACTTCATGAAGTTTCCATTGCTAACTCTGAATTGCTTATCTCTGGATCTGTTTTACTTAAATATGTATATATCTTATTCAAGTTCCTGTTATTTGAGTCTATGTTACAGGAAATACAGAGTCTGATTGGCCTGGACAGTTACAGCTATTTCTCATTTTCTCTCTAAAAATGGAGATGTCTTAAATATAATGGAAAATTTTTGGCGACACATCTAAGTGGCAGCTTGACAAACACTGATAGTGACTCACAATGCTAAGCACTCACTAAGGTGCTACAATACTTGAAATTTTTAATTGGTTTTGCATCACAGTGCAAAGCAGAATGTATTTTGTAATAGTAGTTTTTTTAATATATTGTGGGGAATTGATGATAATCATCCTATGACTTAGATAGCAAGAAGCTTTGGCCAACCCTCTAGTTTTTCAGATAAAGAGACTGATTAAAATCTTGACCAAAGGAAGATAAAAATCCAATTTATAGTAGAAATGAAACTAGCAACTAGGTATAGTGATTTTCAGTGTATTATCTTTCTATTCTACTGCAATGCCAGTATATCAAAAGGGACAAAATTGTCTTTGCTTTTGTCAAAATGTAATTGTTGAAGTGCTCTCATTGACCACACATACTGTTCTGGTATATATTTTGAAGGCCTAAACAGTTCTCCTTTGAAAAACACACAGAGTAATTTAAATTTTTTGAATTTTTATTTTGGGATGTTTATTTTTTAAAATTTATTATTATTATTATTATTATTATTATTATTTTGGAGGGGATAGACTTTGGCTCTTGTTGCACAGACTGGAGTACAATGGTGCGATCTCTGCTCACCTCAGCCTTTGCCTCCCAGGTTCAAGTTATTCTCCTGCCTCAGGCTCCTGAGTAGCTGGGATTACAGGAATGCGCCATCATGCTCAGCTAAAGTTTCTCCATGTTGGTCAGGTTGGTCTTGAACTCCTGATCTCAGGTGATCCACCTGCCTCAGCCTCCCAAAGTGCTGGGATTACAGGCGTGAGCCACCAAACTCGGCTATTTTGGGAAGTTTATATAAATCTACATTTCCACCAGAACTATGCTTTCATACTGACCTTAAAACACAAATAGCACTGCATATTAATATGTTTAAAAGTTCTTCTGCTAGTGTAGAGAGCATCTAGATGATTCTAGCATATATGCAGAAATCAGAAGTGGATTCAGATTTTGTGCAGACCTGGACTTATATAGTTTGGAGGCATTCTCTTTAAAAGAAAACAAAATTATAAAAATGAAACTGGATAATAAACTCCATTTTTGTATAGAAAGAGAAAAGAAATCACATGAAACATAAACTTTTAAAAAGTGACAAATTCCGCAAACATTATACAATTGAGAAAAATAATACACTTTTAATAAATTGACCGTCTGATACATCCCTCTAGTAAATTTCTCCTACATTAATTTGATGTATAGCCGAATTCACCTCTTTCTGTGCCTCAATTTTGTGATAACACCTGCTAGAATAGAGAAATAATTATACAGAGAAAAGAGAAATTGTTCAATTTTTTCTATAGCTTAGTGGGTCAAAGTTTACTTATTATTGGTGGGTTAGAAATGATTGTTTCAGTTTTTCAACTTGTTATTTTCAATATGTTGTAAATGTTTAGGATTGTGATAATATTGAAGAAAACCTCCATCTTGTTTATTTCAAATGTGAACTCTATGATTTTAGGACATTTCAAATTTTCTTGTGCCATGACTTATTTTCACCAGAATGTCAACGTCATTCACTGAAGTGTCAACGCTTTTATTGTAGTTGCATGATGTGAGTTGTATATTATTTTTTACTAATGTTAGTTAGAGTTTCATGTTAAATCAACAAGAAATTAATAAGACCATGGCAATAAGACTATGACATGGGTAAACTTATTTTAGGCCAAGGAAAGAGCATTAGCAAAGCCACGGTCTGGCAATCGTAAGGCACCCAGTTAGAAGAGAACATGTGTAGAGTAGGGTGCCACTAGGTGACTCGATCAGAAAAGTGTGCTGAAGCCAAATTGAGAGGTGAAACAAAGCATCAAACGCTGGTAAATAGTTGTAGACAGACTGTATTGCCTGTAAGTTAAGTAACTAATGGCCTGGTAGTAGATCACAAAGATAACGAAACGTAATATAATGCACTGTTAAGACCATGAGAAAGTGAAAAACTGGCTGATCTGGCAGACCATCAATGGTGTTCCTAACTCACATAAACAATGCTCAGACAAGAAAAGTTCACTCTGCAACTATAAAAGGGACTAAACATCCCCCTTTTCTGATTAATGTGAGAGATTGCTGCTTCTTTACAAAGGCAATTGTATCTCTGCTTTAATTCTTCTGCCTTCTAGATAAAAAGTATTAAGATACCTAGGATCTATCTCAGTGTTCACACCAAAACCACATTTTCCCTGGGACACCCTCAGTCAGTGACTGAATGTGGCAGAGGCACTGGAGTTGAGATCTTTCTGCCTGATTTGAAGCTCTTCTAATAGACAATGCAATTTCCGCATTGGCCTGGCCAAGATTTTCTCATAGCAGCACTGCAGTCAGAAGTTCTTTCTACCCTATCCTCCTGGTCAATCTCCTTTCACAGATGTCACATCAACAGAGTAGTTTGTGGGCTCTCACTGCCCACGCCTGCTTCCTCTTTTCTTTGTTTTTCATGCTGTTTCTTTTAATAAATTTCTTGCACTTCTAATTCCAACTTGGTGTCTGCTTTCTGAAGGACCTAATCTGATGCAGTTAGTATTGAACATGGACTGAGAGAGCAGGAAGAAGGATGAGGGTCTGTGGACTGATCACCCATTGCCTAATTGGCATAAAGGATACTGC